TAGGAACAAGTGCCTTACTAGTAGTAACAAGAAGCTACTAGGAACAAGTGCCTTACTAGTAGTAACAAGAAGCTATTAGAATGAAGTTTAATTAGAATCCTGGCAGCGGATCCGGATCTCTCGCATCTCTCGCATCCCAGCCGGTGAACGTATCGACCGGTGACCAGCTTTTTTTTTGGCGACCCATTTTCAGCGGGAGATTCACTCAAATAGGGAGAAAGAAACGATCACCTTAAAAGGAACACCAGGTTGAACATGGTTGAACAAGGTCTAAGTCCATTTATATAAAGGCACTTGTTAAGACTTCGAGGATTGGCTGAGGGGACCAAGTGTTGGGTGATTCCACTCTTCTTTGCTTTGTTCGTTTCGTGGTCCATGCAACTCTTCATTAGCTCAATCAGCATCTGATAATCAATGAACCAATTCTTCAAATCCCTCCAATTTGCTCCAATAGCAACTAGCATGTGTCAGCCCCCATGCCATCCCCACCTTCTTATTCCAAGTCAAAGTCACTCCGGTCACTCCCACCTCTCAGCAAACCAGTTTGACCCTTCCAGAAAGGGCTCACCTGGCTGGAGAACCCTCATACTTATCTAGGTCTCCACTTGATCTCCTATCCCCGGATCTCCTTCACAAACAGGTACTCACTACTACTCAAACACATCCAACCGGCCCTAGCAATGGCCTCCCACCTTTCGTCGCAGCGCTCCACCCGCTCCCCGCCTTGCGCAGCGTCACCGAGGCCGCCTTCCGCTCGTTCGGTGCCTTCGCCGTCGAGGCGCCCAAGGCCGCCGCCTGTGCGCTCGTCGTGCGCTCGGCGCGCGCGAAGGGCAGCAGCCGGAAAGAGGAGCGACAGCCCGGCTGTGTCCAGCTCCGAGGATTTGGGGGGCAATTCGTTTGAGCTCAAAAGATCTGGATTGTGACACTCTGGTGGTGCGATGATGTGAAGCAAGAGCTCTTTCGAGGTGACGAAAAGAGAATCTTATTGCACACATGCTTGCCACACTTGCTGCCACTTAGTTCCGTTGGGGGCTGATGGATTTTTTTCACTAGCTGCCACTAGCTGCGACCCATTTTGGCCAACAATTGCCCAGGAGAAGGCCAAGTTCGTCGATCACTCGGGGCATCTCATCTTGCCGAATGAACATCGTTCACTTCCCGTTTTCGTCAGTTCAGCCTTGACGAACATAGCACTGTTGATAAAGTCAGTTTCCCTCAAAATCTGGGAACCAAATCGTTATATAGGCGGGGGAGCTTCCTTGAAGAAGCCTCAGCTATCGTGCGTCCAGTTACTAGAAGCTTAAGTAACTAGGAGCTTGCTCCCTTACTTAATGAATGTAGGTGCCTACTTGATCAAGTAAGGGCGGGCTTAAAACAACAAATAGATAACAACTAGCAAGGAAGGAACATCTGCCATGCAGAAAAAAGCGGGTTCTTCCATGTGCGTTATTTCCATCCGGCCCAGTCACCCAGTCACCCTCCCAAACATGCACCGGTCTCGTCTTCGCCTTCAACTCGCCTGCGGTCTTTCCGTTCTTTTTCCGAACCCAAAACAAGCCGCCGACGCGCGATCTCCAACGAAGGCGGGCGAGATCCACTTTGATCCCATCACGGCGATCAAAGGCATCCCAAAATCGTTCCGACGTGAAGGGACGTCGCCCATGTGTTTCCGAGCGAACCACTCAGCGGTCAGATACGACGAAAGAGTTCAGATCAAAGTCATGGCCGGCGACACAAACACATATATTAGATTTTGTTGATTAAGTATCCATCAGGCTATAGGTGACTGTAGGCACTACGAGGAATGATGAGGGAATGTGAAGGGATAAGCAACCCCAGTCCTAACCTTTGCAAAAACTTCGCCAGATTCAATTGCTGATCTCTTGAAAAACATCGCGACGTCCCTTCATGGGGATCTATAGTTCGGTATTTCTCGTGCGGTGCTTCTCAATGTTTCACTAAAGACTGGAAGAAGTCCTCGTTCGCTCTCCCTATCGTTTTCAGGACATTATTGTCGATTGAAAGATGTCACCGTGTCTTGAGAAGCACGACGATGCATCAAGGTCCCTTTGCTTATTTGACAAAAGGGCAAGTGCAGAATGTCAAAGCAATTCCGATGTGCGCCTGTATGGGCAAGAGCTTTGTGAGTAGGCGGTCATTCATCAAGGATAAATTCACCTTCATGCAATGACACCCCTCTTCAGAATGATACCTATTCTGAAAGCTTAACAGCTTGACAAAGCTGCCCAGCAGAGCTTCACCCACGCTGCCCCGAAAACCGGGCGTTGAACGCATGCACGGTGCCGCTGTCGATTCGCGCCAGCTCCTCAAGCTCCATGCACAGCTCCTCAAAACGTGCTCATTCGCTCTCGACGATTAAGCCTTGACAGCTCAAGTAGCGAAGACTTCCAGGCAGCGTCAAATTCTCCAAGCTCCTTGGATTGGACCCGAAACTCTTCATAGAATCATGACGACAAACCATGTATACTGTATAACTTTCATATACTTAGTTTTGTGGCATTTTCTATGTTTTCTTGTTAGTTTGTATTTTTTGTGTTCTTTGTTCATTTTTGTTTTCTTTCAACTTCTCCAAGCTCCCTATTGGACCCCGAACCCTACTTGATCGGTTCCATCGATGGACTCGAAACTCTTCACAACGCATGAGTTCTCTTTCAGAGGTCCTATCTAAGAGGTCGCGTTTTAGACGTAAAGTTGCTTTGAACGTTTTTGATGCATCCTTAAAGATTGCGTCCACAAAGTTCTTTTGGACACATGGTCTGACACATGGCTGCCATGACACCAACAAAAGGACCGGTCGCCCTCGGTGAACCGAACCCCGGTGATGGTCAATCTTGTTAAAAATGGTCGATGCATTGAAGGGGGGGGGCCCAACGTCTTGCAAGAAACATGGGGCACTGGTCAAAGAACTGGTCGTGAAGATGAGGTTGTACTTCATCACTCCTCTACGTGCAAAGAGCCTCCCATCGGCTTGCACTTGTTCACTGTCACGCTAGTGTAGACTGTTGATTCATAAATCCCCCACATACGGAAGATGTAGAACCATGTTGGTAGGGCTTTATTTATCCACAGGCTACATGACTGGTTCCAAGCTTCTGGCTGAACTTCTTTCCGACGATCAAGGTTTCCTTGGCAAAGCGCGATCACAGCTGGCGTCGGCCGATGACTGCACGAAGCGTGCGGATCAACACATCTCGTGTTTTGAAGGTCTTTTGTGACGCGTTCGCTGAGTTACAGTCGTCCTAACCATTCTAGGTCAAACCGCCTCACTTCTAGGTCAAAGCAAGCTATGTCTCAAGTGCCAACATCAGCTCCAACGAACGAGACCTCTTCGCCAAGAAGCCAGACTCTCTGGAAAGTCCACCTCCTGGAAGAGTAGCATGTCTGAATCAGGTCAGGTGTGCCCAACCATGACCTTTCTTTCTGAAGGAAAAGACCTAAAACCTCAGGTGCTGGGTGGTTCAAATGCTTCAGGTTCTCCAGGTCGTCGTGTGTTTTTTTGAACTCATCCAACTCGCCTTTTGCCGGGCGCGTGCGGCACGCGCGAAGGAAACGCTTCGATCGCCTCCAAGGGCTGATCAAAGTAGGCACCAAAGGTGAGATGCCGCAGGCCTCCACTGTTGCAACAAGGACTCCAATAGGAACGGCCACCCCACTAGCGTTGGCTTCCTAGAACCTCACTCAGTGACGGTCTGGCCCAGCACCCATATTTTGAGTCGTTTTCGATCAGGGTCATGTGAGTCATGTTTGGGTTCGTTCGTTTTGTTCGGCTGCACATGTTGCCAGGGCTGTCTGCAGGTCCAGCTGAGTTTCCTTTCAGTTTGACCCCACGAACAACCTACTAAGGAAGGGATGAGGATTGAACGAGTCAGCTACAGTAGCAGCAATCTTGAGCTGAGAATGACATCTCTAGTTCTGTTGTGTCAACAATCGCTTGAAGTAACAAAAGACATAAAACAAACTCATCAGATATTCAGAATAAGGAGGACTCATCATTCATTCACAAAAGAATTTGAGCGAACAAATCCTCACAACGGTGTAAAACTGTAAAACAGTTATAGTTGATTTCTCCAAATCCTGCCACGTCAACTAACAGCACGCGCCAAATCCTGCCACTTCGGACAGCGGATCTCGTTTGATCCAAAACGACGTCGCACCGATCACGTCTGCGACCGGTCATGGCACCGGGCACCCTGGTCGGGTGAACCGAAAGGACGACTGAGGTTTGCTGCTCTTTCGGATGATTCCCGGTTGAAGATGCCGTTCGCGAGCCAAAGAACAACTCCGGGCCTGTGGGGAAAGTGACATGCTTCAGGCTTTGATCCTCAGTGACACGTGGTGCGGGATGGTGCCTGGAATCCACAGGATTCAATATATGTGACACCAGTGCTCTCAATTCATTTATTTATCCACTCTCTATAGAGATGCCTCGACTATGAACCCTGACGGACTGGAGGTGCCAAAAGACGTTGGAAAAAAACCCAGTTGATCGGCAAGAATCGGTGAGAGAGAAAAAGCTCGATAGCATGAGCAAAACTTGCTTAAAACCTTTTTGTTCCTATAGTAGAAAGGCCAGGAGTGCCCCTAGTAGCGATGCCCTTTGCTCCTAGTAGCTTCTTGTTACTAGTAGTAAGGCCAGGAGCCCCGTTCGTAGCCTCCTTGAACACACTTCATCAACAAAGACTTCGGCCACTCCAAATGATGTAACCTTGGCCGACTTTGGACTCAAGATTCCATGAAAAAAACACACACGCCCCTCTCTCAAACGAAGCCCCTCGAACATTCAAGAAGTGGTCCGTCAAATCCTTCGAAGTCCAAGTACCCCTTGTCAATGTGTGTCGTGCATTTGCCTGGGTCAGACTTGTTTAAAAGCTTTCACTGGGTGAAGCAAATGGGTCTCCGGTCAGGTTCAGTCACCAGAAAAAACGATTGCCAGAAACCGGAACCAAAGAGAAGCATGCAAGAGGCGGTTTCAAAAAATGCAGTTCAACCTAAGAGCCATGGCCTCCAACCTAGTGGCGATTGCCTTCAACCTAATCATAATAGCAATCACCTCAACCAACCCAAAACAGCACCTTCCTTGTGTTTTTCACCCTGAGAATCAAGGATTGTTCAATACTATCTTTTGTTATTAATAGGAGGCCTTTGGAACTACACAGAGGGGCACCCTTCCGAAAGACGGTAGCTCAGCTTTTGTCTCCAACCGTCGTCTTCGTCTCCGCTTCGGTCGAGGCACAAAGTCGCGGCCGAACTTCAAGCTTTCCAGTGCTCGAGGGAGCTTCACCTCAGTGAACGAGACATCTGAGAAAGAAGTCCAACAAAAACTCCACACGGGTTGGTCATGAGAACACCTTCCTCATCAATGGGTAGACTGCGGTAGACTGGTCGATTTTCCGAACCTTCGACGGGGGGATCGAACCGGTCGCAGCGAAGGCGTGCGCCGATTCGGCGTCGCTCCGTCGCCCCGTCGCTCGCCTCCACGAGGCTTTGGTTGAACGACCCACCAAAGCTCCTGAGGCCACGGACGTTGAAAAAGGGTCTGGAGGTCGGTGAGTGGCTTTTAAGGCGCAAAGGGATGCTACCAGTAACAAAGGGCATCGCTACTAGGAGCCAGAATGCTACTAGTAGCTCCTGGCCTTGCTACTAGTAACAAATAGCTACTAGTAGCTTTTTGTTACTAGTCGTAGCAATGGCCTCCACCCTAGTAGCGATGGCCTCCAACCTAGCAGCTTCTCGCTACTAGCGATGGTGAAGCCTTGCTGAAACCATGGACGTGGAGTTCACCCCCTGTTTGGTAGGAGGATTTGAGGGTCTTTCCGCCAGGACGTGCACCTCGGAGGGTAGGTTGGATGGAAAGGCTGAAACGCACACAATGACCACCTGAAGAGGCTGAAACGCATCATTTATCCAAAAGCTCGGAAGGCTTGGAACAATTCGATTCATCCCCCCAAAACCTCCGGAATGACTTCAACCATTATAGAATAGAAAAAACAAAAAAGACAAGATAATGGACAAATTCACATCTACATGGACCCATGGAGAAAATGGCTTCAGGGCCATACTAGGAACCGGATGCGACTAGTAACAAAGGGCATCGCTAACAAAGGCATCGCTATTAGTAACAAGGGCATCGCTATTAGTAGCTAATTTACTACTAGGAACAAGAAGCACCCCTCCAAGCTTGAGGGACGCGAATTCTTTTTTGCGTCGCCCTTTCGGAGGGTGCGGCTGGCCAAGCTTTTTTTTCCCTGGATATGTCTTTTGGCTGGTCTTTTAGATGAAAAGGCAGACGGCTAGGGAGAAAATCTCTGGTTTCTTGGCACCTCTTGAGGATGGTCATGGTGAGAACCCCCCCTTCCGCTTGCTCTAAAACCAAGCCTTGGGGGCTGACCCAAATCAAAGATTTTGTCTTATCCGCATATTGTCAATTCGTAAATCCCGAAATCCCTTGGGCTTTCCGTCACAAGCACTTCAGGTCAAATTGACAGCTGTCATGATGGCCTATCTTCTTAAACTTCCATCTTTACCGGCCCGACAGCAGAAAAATAACAGCAGAATTGACTTTGATGGTGAGGCGTCAAGCTCTGCAAGCCATCAGGGAGGTTCACGTACTTGAGGCTTTGGTTGAACCTATGCAGCAACATGAGTGAGCTGACCAACCCCAACGCAGCCTTGGCATTGGCTGACTTTGTCCCAGGAAACAGGCTTGAATTAATCAAAACGAAGAAAAGTATGCAAAAAAGGAACCCAAGAAGAACAAGTAGGTTGGAGGCCATTGCTAGTATAGGTTCCTTTTGAAACGTATCCAAAACGACGACCAGTATCAGCAAGGACCACCCAGCACCCAGTTGAAAGGCACCCAGTTGAAGGCACCCTGCCGATCCAACCCGCTTCGGAGACGTGGGTGATACCGCTGTGGACGTACGTTGGATGCCGAACGTGGACCTCCCAAACCCAAAGGCCGGACCCGCCAGGGGGAGCGGATCGCGGGGAGTGGAGACGGACCTGGGGCACCCTCCGGAGCTCCGAGAATGGAAGACCGCGATGGGGACCCAGTAGCATACAGAATGATAGACCCCAGCAATCTGGTCTGGTAGGCCATCAAATGAACAACATATGCAAAAATGAGATGTCGACATGTCTGGAACGTCCCACCATCCCACGGGACGTTATCAGCGCTGGATGTTCCTTCCATCCCCACCTGAGGGTTCTCACCTGACCCCTTGACCATCCTTGACGCCTTGACCCCTTCACAGCCACCCACTGCTGATTGAATCAAGTGGCTCATGCCCAAAACTTAAGGATAGGAGACCCGCAGGGAGGTGCACCCTCTGCAAGCCTCGGCTCGCCGGGGTCCGGAAAGACTCTCACCGTCTCTGCATGCCCATGTGCAGGTGCATCATGTATCAACATGTGACACGTGCCCAGCGAGTTCATTTCAATTGAATGGTGACATGTGGTTGGTGACGTTCACAATTCACATTGGTTTGTGTATATATTTGGTTGCAGGCGTGGCAACAAGTTTAGTGGGCGCGACTCACATGCAAATTGAATGTCTGGGCATGTGAAACAAGAAGCTACTAGGGGCTCCTGGCATTGCTACTAGGAGCAAAGACGCTCCTTCAGTTTCTCTGGAAAATGACCCTTTGGTGTCACGGGAAAGGACATCTGTTTTTTGCTTCCAGGTGGATGCTAGGCCAACCAATCCCAGCCAACTCAGCCAAACCAATGGCAGCGATCTGACGTTTCAGCCATTCACAAGCTGAAAATCAACCGCCCAAGTCCTCCCGCATCATCTGTGCTTCCTTCGTAGTCTTTTTATGTGCTCGTGTCTTTCTTGCCTTTAGGTTGGCTAGTAGGTTGGAGGGCATCGCTCTTATGATTTAATATGTGAATCCTTCTCTGCTGCGATTCCGGCCAAGCGGTACCGTTTGGTCGAACACCACACTCCGGTGCTGTCATGCAGCTTTCCCTCTTCGAAGCACCCTCCTGTCTTGCTTTTTCTCCCATCGCTCTTAGGTTGGAGGCCATGGCTAGTAGGTTGGAGTAAAGTCTATTGTTTTCTTCCCTTTTGTTCCCTTTTCTTCGTGTGTTGGACTTGGACCCAGCTCGAAGCCCGATCCCGGTGCTTCCCGGCGGCTGTGATTGAAGAACCGCCCGAAGGTCAAGGACGTCGAATGGCTCGGAAGCTGCACACCATCCAAGCACCTTGCTTCGGGGCTTCGAGGTTGGAGAGGCCCAACCGATGTCATTTTTGAGGCCCAACCGAGGGTAGGCCAAAGTCTTCAAAGAACGCATGGACTTTGGTTGGAACGCTCCTTCTGCAAGCGAATTCCATCTTTTTCTCGAACCTTTCGCACTCTCAGCTTCCCCCAGTTCCATTCCATCCACTTCTGGTGGTCCAACGGTTGATCGCAGGTACTGGAGACATACGAGCGCATAGGAAATAAGTACCAGCACGTACAAGCAATGTGGATGTGATTGTGTTTCCCTTCTTTTCAATGCCCTTAAGGCTCGAGACTCTCTAGAAACAACATCCCAGGCTCAAGGAGGTCACTGGTCTTGCGAACAAGAGCCTCTTTTCTCCTCCCACCATTGGAGTCCGTCTTTTTCTGCGATTCTGGTCCCGTCTGGCACACACCGGACGCATCTCGTCAATGGCATTCCGAGGCGCTCGTCAAAGATGTCCTTAAGCGTTCCGCCCGACGGAAGGCGAAGATGTCTTGGCGAGTTTCGAGGACCAACCCGATCACCTGGAGCGAAGGTGTGTGGAATCTTGATATTTCTTTCAACCCCCCCCCGAGCCTGAAGAGGTTTTGTGGCGGGGTTTCCGCCATCAGATTCTGAACTCGAAACCGTTCGTGTTGAGCTCCAAAGGCCAAGAGCAGAATGCTCAACACGTGTTGTGCTGGCCCCGGCAGAACGCGGTTCTGACAGTTCTTGACGCAAAAGAGCACATGATGCACTCCAACCTACTAGCCGTCCGATCGCTCCGTTCGTGGCGAGGCCAGGAGCCCCGTTCGTAGCGTCCGATCGCTCCTACGACCCTATGGCCTCCAACCTCAGAATCATTCACTCCCCCTGTGAAAAGCACCCACGCCCCATCTTTGCGCCAGAGCGTCGGGAAAGATCAAATGAGTGGAGTTGCTCACTACCTGCCCCTCGCCTGAGTCGCACATGTCCATGGTGAGACATGTTCGTGGGTGACACATCCATGCGAGGGTGGCAGGTGCAATGTGAGGGAGTGTCTATTGAGAGAAGACTGTGGCTCTGAGGTTCAAAACCATGGCTAGTTAGTAGGGCGGGTGGAGGCCATCGCTACTGGAAGACTGTGGCGTTTTCTTCCTTCTTGCTGCTGAAAGACCATAAGGCAGCACCCAAAGACCTCTGGGCAGCTCCACATGTTCAAAGCTGTGGCTGTACAGTGGGCTCACCTCGGTGACTTTCGCGTCAGGCGAGCTGACCTCCGAACCCGGCAGTTGAGCCCACAAGGTCCTTCGATCTCGCGTGATTCCTCCAATCTGTCACCAACTTGCCCCCACCCAAAGTCCCCAGTTTCGGTGCCTGTTTTCACCCAAGAAACACGTGTGATTTGCAGCCAAGATCATCCACCTGGTCATTTGTTTGTAACTCCTCAAAGGCCACCAGACCTACGAACCACAAACACGCCTCCTGCGCGGAACTCCCGCGCATCTGTTTGCTACACAAGTGGCGCCCAGGTGCTGCAGGCCCTTGGGGAACTTCAGACCTTCGAAGCTCTCGTAGAAGCGGCTTCCCAAGCTCAAACGCTCCAGGGCACCTCGGCAGTCGACTGGATCCGATCTTCCAGACCATTCAGATCAACTCAGCTTCGATCCGGAACTGGTGATCACCCGACATCGCTTTGCAGGAGACAAAGGCGAACTGGCAGAAACTGATCTTCATCAACTCAAAAAGCTCATCTTCAATTTCGGCATTTCGGAGAGGTGGACACCGCGCGGCGGAACCGCGTGGCGGAACCGCGATTTTCCAGATGGTCCACTGGTCCACCCCCCTCCCGGTATAGCTCCGCGCCACGCGGAAGTGCGACGTTCCGCAAGCTTTGGCTGAAGTCGGAGCCGAAGGAGAGACTTCGCAAGCCGCCTGGGCGAAGGCAGAGGCGAAGACGTCGTCCGCACCGGCACCGCGGAGAGGGCAGTTCCGTCGGACGCTGCGTTCCGTTCCGTCGTTCTGAAGCACTGAAGCTGTGATCAGGATGTTCCACGAAAGGTGAAGTGTTCAACATCCTCTTGGAATCACCTGTCAAAAAAAAACGGACAAAGGCACGTGGACAACAGGGGTCTGCCATTCTTGACCTTCTTGCCTTGACCTCTTGACGTGTCCGCATGTCCCAGGCACTGGGCAGCTCGCAGGCTTCCAAGCTCTGATTGAAGGCTCCAGCGAAGGTCAACGCTTGGAGAGTGCTCGGAAGGATCACACTCTCCATACCTGGAGCATGTTCCATTGCGCCCTCCAACCGACAGGCGATGACCTCCCACCTAGCGATGGCCTACACCAGGTCCTACTGGTCCAATGAGAACTGTTCAACCATGTTTAATTATTCGGAAGAAGTTACCAAAAACAGGGTTGGCAACTGTTGCTATCTAGAATCATCCCTGCAGCACTCCTTGCGGAATGACAAAGACCACCCCTTCGGTTTCTGTTGCCAGTGGTGACCGGTGGACATACAATTCCTGTTGCGGAGGGCTCTGACTTGTGGCTCAGCCTCCCTAGCAATGGCCTCCAACCTACTAGCGGTGGTCTCCAACCTACTAGCGATCCACGTTCGCTTCTTTAGTGAGTGAAGTCGACCAGGGGTGCTGTCCAGGTTTGTTTGTCAAGGCCGATGAAGTTCACTGCATGGAGGCCTTGAGAGCATTGAAGGGGGGGGGTTCTTCTCGACCTTCCTCCAGAGCATCACACGGCATCGACCTTCCCAGCCGGTCCAGCCGGAACTCGCATGGTGCTTCCAACTCGCATGGTGCCGGAACTCGCATGATCCTGGTTTTGTAGTATAAAGTCCAAAGCATGGTGCTTCGGTAAAGGCTTCAGATGCACCTTCAGAGCTAGAATTCCAACAGATCCTCTCCCCAACCTTCGATCGATTTCGGTCGACCGAAAAAAAAACGAAGATCCAGATGCTTTGGTTGAACTCCTCGCCGAAGATCAAGGTCCTCAGGCTGCCGCGGGCAGCTGCAACGAGAAATCCCAAACCAAAACCTCTAAACCAATCAAGAAATCTCAACTGCATCTTACAGTGGCATATAATTCGTTTCTAGTGTATATCCTACTGATTCTAGGTGCCTTGGAACATCCTTGATAAATCCTGTTAACAAGAAAAGCCTTGCTATCCGTCAAAAGGCTTTGTTTCAAAGTTTTACCTTGGATTTGTGCGGGCCGGGTTAGTAGGAGCTCAAGCTACTGCAGAAATGTTTGACCTAATCTCAACCTGCACAACTATTTGTGACAGTGGTTCCAGCTGACGAGCAGGTACTGGCGACTGCTTTCTTGTTGCCAAGTTGCTTGAGCTTGCGGGGCAGCTGCACACCCTCCAAGCTCCGATTGTAGCGATGGCCCAATCTTAACTCTTCCAAATTCTCCGGAAGAGTTACGTTCTTGAAACTCTGATTGAACATGTCGGCCTCACTCCCGGCATATGCAACGGCCGTTAGAACAAGCTCGTTGAAGTACGAATGGCCCATCGGGGAAGGGCGCTGTGCCGGTTTACACACAACACATGTGTAAGAACTGCTTAGTCTACCTGAATATATCCACTGACCTCACAGTATGGTCGAATTCTGCCCACGAAACAAGGTGCCACTACTTCCAAAGCGTCCTTTGCTCCTAGTAGTGAGGCCAGGAGCCCCTAGTAGCTTCTTGTTCCTAGTAGTGATGCCAGGAGCCCGTTCTTTGCTCCTAGTGGTAAAATCTCGTGATATGTTGGGTGCCATTCCCAGTCACGAAGACCAGTTCACGAAGAGCTTGTGGGAAGATCACGCCCTCCAAGCTCTTGTTGTATTGGCTCCCGAAGACCAAGCGCTGCAGACTCTGGGGCAGCACCAAACGATCCAAGCGTTGGTTGAAGGTACTGCCAAAGACCAGCTTCCTGCAAGCACCGAACGCGCTTTCTTCGCGCGCATGTCTTTTTCCTTTCACAAAGGGGTTGCGGCATCACAAGGTGGTTTCGAGGTAGAACGTTGTTGTGATGTCGGGATCCGCCAAAGGATCAACTTAGCTCCTTTTGATGATACCCTTGAAAACATTGACCCGAACCTGTACACAGCTTTAAAATCATGCTGAAGAAGTAGAATCTTTCAGGTGAGACGTGGTGAGACTGTGTCACTTGAAGGCGGCCAAGATTCTGAATGCTACTGGGCAATTGCACATGGTCCATGTTCTGATTGAACAGCTCCCCAAACTCCAAGTACTCCAGCTGCGGCAACTTCACGCGTTGCAAGGGGAAGTTGAAGTTCCGCCCCAGCGTGAGACGTTGCAACGTCCTCGGCAGGCGCACTCGGTCCTCGGCTGCTCTCGAGCGGCGGAAAGAGCGCCTCCAGGGCGGGCACGGAAAGGACCGCATCGGACGGCCGGGCGTCCTTCTCGTCCTTCTCGGCCATGTCCCCAGTCGCAAGATCAACAAGTAGCTAAGTAGCTTGCCAGTAGCACATCCATAAGGCTCTTGCAGATCTATCCATGTGTGGTGCCCTTCAAACAGATGCTGATGGGACCATTTGCTTCGTCCTTCGGCCTACTGGCACTTGTTCCTAGTAGCGTCTTTGCTCCTACTAGTAAGGCACTTGTTCCTACTAGCGTGGCACTTGTTTCTAATAGCTTCTTGTTGCTACTAGTAAGGCACCTGTTACTACTAGCGTGGCACCTGTTACTAGAAGCTTATTGTTTCTAATAGCTTCTATGTCCAACATCCCTTTTACATTCATCGTGAAACATGTTCCCGATCAAATATACGTTGTTACAAATACGTTTAAACATACCTTTACTGTCCAGCATGTGTTCTCTATTTTTAGTGACAACGTCCAACGTCACCCCCGGAACGCGTTCTCCAGCCAAGGCTCAAGGGGCTGATCGAAGCTCAAACCGAAGGTTAAACCTCAGTTGGGGGGCGAACGACATCGTGCTGAAGGGGCTCCAAAAACGCTCTGGAGGTGTTCAATGGAATAGATTTAACATTTCCACACAAGGCTTAAACACATGTTGCAAACTTTCAAGCTTCTACTTTCTGCTTAGACCCCCAAAGCCACAATGCTTTGCGTGGACAAGCTTGGTCTTGCAACGATCTAAGTGTGAACTTGTGTGTTGAATGGCACTGCTTAGCCTTGGAGGGGGTTCCAGCCTCCACTTCTTCACTTCCAGCCTATCAGTGGACCATTCACTGATCATTTGTCCGAAAAATGTGCCTGACATATCCTGACGCTGGGGCACTTTGAAGCTTCGGCAGGTGTACAAACTCCAAGCTCTGGTCAAACTCTTCGCCTCAAGCGGGATGAACAAACACACAAAAAAAACAGAGATATTATATATGATATTATATGTTACGTACTATGTTATGTATATTACGTGGGATATATTGATGATAACTGTATACTATTTATGGATTTGGATCATGTCATGTTGCTTTGTGGAAGTTCACCCCAAAACGAAGGCCGTGTGAACCAGCCACCCTGGTCATGAAGAGCTGTAGCTCTTGATACTTCTGATGGCTGTGTCCAACAAAATTCAGGGAACCACGACATGCACCTAGTCAAAGGACAGTTGGGACGGGTTGTCACCACGTCATCACCACAGAATATATATTTAGCCACAGAAACTTGGGGAAGTACAAGGATCTCAAAAGTTGTTGTTATCTTAGTAGCAAATAGCTACTAGTATCTTCTTGCTCCTAGTAGTAGTGGCCTCCTCCCTAGTGGCGATAGCCTCCACCTAGTAGCGTCCCTACTAGTAGCAAATGCTCACCGGGTCACCGAAAGACAAGCTCTGCAGCGTGCTCGGCAGCTGCACTCGTTCCAAAGGTTGGTTGAAATCCTCACGTCTGGCGACCGTCGAACCTTTCGACCGGGGAAGCGGCGAAGTCACTTTCACTCGAAGAAGCTTTCGACCGGGGCGCTCCTGGCCTTACTACTAGTAACAAAGGAACGCTACTAGGAACAAAGGGCCTTGCTCGCGATGGAAAAAAAGAACATGTGGCACATCAATTCTCAGAATTTGGACACTTCCTATCCCTACACTGCTAGTAGCTTTTTGTTGCCAGTAGTAAGGCCTATGAGCTACTAGTAGCGTCCGAACGCTCCGTTCGTGGCGATGCCCTTGGTTCCTAGTAGCTTCTTGTCCAGAGTATGGCCAGGAGCCCCTAGTAGCGTCCTTTGCTCCTAATAGTAAGGCCAGGAGCTACTAGTAGCTTCTATTGCTACTAGTAGCGATGTCCTTGGTTCCTTCCTGATCAAGGCTCCGCCAAGCACGTTCCACGTCTGGTCACCGGCCCGTTCCACCCGTCCGGCCGACTGGCGACCCCCGGTGAAACGCAGCCGAAGGTGCCGAGCCGAAGGTGAGATGCTTCAGTCCCTTGGGAAACTTCACGTTGCGCAAGGAACGGTTGAAGTTGTAGCCTGAGGTGTTCTCAGGCTTGTGTCGAGCTGGATGTGTTGAATTCTTTGAATTGAAGGATTCTTTGAAATCTTCGAAGAATTTGAAGGGGACGCCCAATGGGCGGTGATCTCCGTTCCCACTTCTTCAACAAAGATTGAAAGCTTAGCTCGAAAGAAAACTTGGATTTGTTTAAGGACCTGGAACAAATGGAGCATGTTTCCCGAAAGAGGATTCAACATAGGGAATATCAAAGATCTCCCTAGGCAAAACCAGGCCAGGGTCTTCTTGCCGCCACGGGTTGATCCCAAATCCATCTAGCGCCCATAAAGACACAGCAGTGCACAGTGGAATTCTTTGAACACTTGTTCCTTGCGATTCGATGCGAACAGCATTCGAACCATTGAAAAAGGGACAAAAAGCGCCGTGCACCAATGCGAATCAGGACTTCTCCACCTGGGGTAAAAGCCTCCAACACCGATCCCGCGAAACAGTCCCTGGTTTCCTTTCATCCTCACAGCTGCACTGGACTCTCTGCAAGCGGCTGAAGGTCAAACTTTGAAGATTCTTGGGAAACATGATGTTCTTCAAACCTCAGCGCCGGCAAATGCGGAAAGCGCTGCTTGGAGCGAGCTCTGCCGCGGCCGAGAAACTGGAAACGAATCCCTTCCAAAGCCTCGATCATCAGATTTTGGTATCCCAATCATGCAAAAGAACTGGGCAACAAATGTGAGCACGGGAGGTACCTGAACTGGTATCATGCTGGATTCCTTGGCATTCTACGGCTCGTTTGGCCTCTCTGGGGCCAATTGAAACGCACGAAATCCAGAGGCTCTCCTCTTCCGTGCCTGAAGAGTGAGATCAACGGTCATCTGAAGCGCAGTCCTTCTTTTGATCCTGAAGAGGCCATCGCTACTGGAGGCCATCGCTTAAACATCTTCTCACCATCTCTTCTTCCTGAATGAACGCATTTCTTTGAAGGTGGAACGAGTGCGCATCAATCTTGCAGTATTTGGGCTCAGAAAGTGCGCCCCACACGCAAGCCACCCACATCGAGAGCTCAGAAGCTTCGATCAAAATGTTCAAAGACGATCCGCTCCTGGTGCGTAAAGGCCGTAGGTGGCTGGTTTCAGCTCAAACAAAAGGCTCAGTGGGCTCAACCATCCCAAGTAGAGGTTGAACAACATATCCAAAACCACCACCGAAAACGACGAGGACTTTCGGTACACGTTCATCAATTCTTCGGTGCTTTTCCGTTTGACACGCGCACACACACACATATCCACCAATGGGGCTCAAAGTATGTTAAACACACACAGACCCATACGCACACACACAAATACCCTATAGGATTCCATCCATTGATTCAATCGCCTTCACCGAACCACCATTGTTTCACTCAGGGTTTTAACGTCAGCCACGCAACGAACGGCTGAGTCCTGGCTCTTTCCTCCACCCACGATGTTGGTCCCATACCCCCGAGATGTGCTGTGCATGCTTAAGCATGTTCTCCAACCTTAGTAGCGATGGCCTCCACCCACGGCAGTGTCTGCACTCAACTCTCCAGTCATCTCCACTTCATCCCAACCAGCCCTGTCCGGCCGGTGGCACAAACCGTGGCTTCTCGTCCAACACCCGGTCGACCCGGTTGCCGACACCGGGTCAAGCCGAGCGTCCAAGGTTCCAGAGGGTTGCACCTGATTCCTGGGCAGATGCGATGCAGATGCAATGCGGATCCGAGGTGTTGAACTTGGTTCTCGCAGAGAAGGAGCTCCGAAAGAGAGCCAGGAGTGTTCCACCACTGTGACAACCATGGACCGACGTGAGATGCGTGGCACCGAGGTGTTGAGCAAAGGTGTCGGAAACTGTGTAATGGCCATATGATCGCACGTGTGGATGAATGTCCAACACCCCATGCCGAGATCTGTCGCAACAATTGCTCTATGGCCTTGTGCAAAAGGCATTGGAGAACAAACATGAGCAACGAAAACACACCAAGTCGTATCCTGGTCCTGCAATTCTTTTAGTCTCCTGGAGGTCGGTGCAGTTTCTTCCACCGGCGCTCCGAATACACCGAACTTTGGACTCCAGTCTGATTTGCCCAAGCGGCAAAAAGAACTCCAGGTGCTTTCCCTCATAGTAGACTGCAGTAAGTCCTTCCAAACTTTCCTCACCAGAGTCTTCAAAGCCCCTCTTCAGAGCCTTCCAAGCCTTCAGCCTGTCAGGATTCATGCAAGGCCGAGCATTGGCATTCGTACCTGGACCAGACTTAAACAGACGTCTCGGAGAAAAAACAGACTGGGGAGTCTCAACTCCCCAGTCTGACGGAACAGATTCACTCAGAGCTTCCAAACATCCGTGGCCAAGAGGATTTTGGGATCGAAGTCCACGCGACAAACGCGACGCGATTCCTCGCGATAGAGTCCGCGCCCCCCATTCCGCGCGACATGCAGGCGCGTGCAAAGACGTAGCTGACGACCGGAGACTTCCAAAGACCTCAGGGTTCCCACATGGATCCACATGTCCATGGCCCTTTTTGTAGTATTTAAATTTGTAACAATAGACCCCCAAAGAAAAAAGAGTAAAGTAGATCCCCACAAAAAATGTCTTGGAAACCGTGTCTATCTATATGTGGGGATTATCATCAGGATTCATCTCCTACCACGGACCAACTCGCAGACTCCAAACCTTGTGCATTGGCCACATCGTGCCACGTCTTTTAAACACAAATCGGAGCCCTGTCAGCCTGTCATCTGAACAGGTCTTTTCTCAGCCTGGCCTCTTTGGCCTTGCAGCTGAGATTCCTTCCTCTCTCAAGGTTCTCGTCAACGAGAGCTTTTGCTCATTCCACAGCAGTGACAAAGCCTCGCCGCGAGTCCCAGCAAGTCGCAACAAGTCATGCGTTCTTCGTTGTGCGATGCGATGCTTTCGTTGTCATGGTCGTCAGACATACTGAGTCAGGAAAAACTGGCCGTTTGACTCATGTCTATCCTATTACCTGGGCCCAGTGGATGATGATGGTTAGTGAATAATTAGTGATAACTGTTTGCCGACTGTTACAGGTTTACTAGGAGCAAGGACGCTACTAGGGGCACTCCTGGCCTTACTACTAGTAACAAGAAGCTACTAGGAACAAAGGGCATCGCTACGAACGGAGCGATCGGACGCTACTAGGACACATGATCGCATATGATTCCATTGGTCTCTTCCTGATCTCATCCTGACAGGAAATTCCTCAACCAAATCGACTTTTCACAGATTTTGAGCACTCCTGTGGTGGCAAAGACACCGGACACTCTTTGACTGAAGCAATAGTTCAATTGAAGTTCGCGCAGTCCGCAAACTAAGAGGAGGCTGGGTTTAAATGTTTAACAAGCTGTTCAAACAGAAGCTCCAGGCAGAACCATGAACCTAATAGCGAGGCCTCCAACCCAATAGCAATGTTGAATCTCTGCCACAATGGACCTTCTCCCATTCCCTTGACCCTTGTCTTTGAACCGTGGCTCACCCCCCAAACCAAAACAAAGACCTGCCCGCTGTGCCCACTGTGCCCAGAAGCAGCGCCGGGCTTGGCTGGCAAATGGTTTCGCACCATCTCCTGAGACTGGTATTTGTCAGTAACAAGAAGCTATTAGGGGCTCTGGGCATCGCTACTATAGAAGCAAGGACGCTTCTAGGGGCTCCTGGCCGTACTACTAGGAGCAAGGACGCTACTAGTAACAAGAAGCTACTATAGTAACAAGAGGCTACAGGTCACAGCATTCGTTGTGAAAAGACGTGGAGGCCATAAGCGCTGCAAAGTTCGTCATGGTTGCTTCAAGGCTTTGTTGCTGACTGTTCTTATTTTGCTTGGGAGCCACCAAACAGTCTCGCTAAGGACCATAAATGCGCACATGATTTCCGTGTAACCTCCAGGGGGGCAGCATCACTTCACCCATTTCGAACTGGATGATCATGGTGAAAAACACACACACACACACATGTGCGTGTGCGTGTGCGTGTGCGCCCGTCTGGCTGTTTCTGCAACCAACGGCTAACAGGTCGGGTCCCCAGCAGCGAGCGGGACCATTGCTGCCTGGCCACGAGGAGGTCCTTTCCCGTGATGCTCTCTGACACACCTGACGGGTCTGCCAGGAGCGCCCCGTTCGGTTCGCGTAAGAAATCGCTCCGGACTCGTAGCGATGCCCTCGTAGTGAGTGCCCCTAGTAGCGTCCTTGCTCCAACAAACCCGTTTCTTGTGGGCATATCCTTTCAGCGTACCCCGGTAAAGCAAGAAAACAACAACTGCGGTTCGGACGGAGGGACCAACATGCTCAAAGCCCATAGGAGTGCTTTTGCTGTTGTTCGTTTCCTGGTGCTCCAGGTATTTATAGCGTGTTTTTTCGCGGAGAAAAAAGGCGATGATGTTCTTGGCTTGGCTGCAGAGACCACTACTCTTCACCCGGGTAGCACTTGACGAACTCGGTGATTCGAAAACAGTCGCCGAAATGGTGCGGTGAAGGTTTTTCTCCCCCGACATGGTCCAATCAAACCAATTGGTTTAAGGGAAGATCTACAGGTCCAGGCTATATATATTTACATACATACAGTATTTAAACCTATTCATTCGACACCAAGGAACGGAGATTGAAGCTATGGCCATGCACGCCACAGACCTCGGCGATGGGGATGTTCAATCATCCATCTTAGACCGTTCGAGGACCATCGAATCATGTCAACGCTGGGTCCCGGGGTGAGGGAAAGAACACCCTGGAAGTCAAGGCCGTTGAAAAATTGGGTTGACCTGGTTTGGTAGTGTACAATCCTTAGTACATCAATAATGGTTGTCGTTTTTTCAGCCTATGAAATTAATGGTGGTTGTAATCCGAACACATAAAAAGACAACATGTACAGCAACTGAGACTGGTGCCTAGTGGGGAATTCTTTGGGATTGACCCTCCAAACAATGATTCCTTCGAATCCCAGACCCGATGCAGTTCGATGCATGGCCCCACACCTCGGAGCGAGTTCTCAGCTACAAACGGAGCGATCGGACGCTACGAACGGGGCTCCTGGCATTACTACTAGTTGCATTCTTGCTACTAGGAACAAGGTTCGCTACGTTCGGGGCTCCTGGCATCGCTACCAGGGTGGAGGCCATGACCACGAACGGAACCACGGGCTAGTATGGCACCTGTTACTACTAGCGTGGCACCTGTTACTACTAGCGTGGCACCTGTTACTACTAGCTTCTTGTTACTACTAGTAAGGCACCTGTTACTACTAGC